ACTGGCTGGCGAAAAAGTCCTTGGGGTAAGGCTGCTGCCACTTGACGTCCTGGAGAGCCACCGCGGCCTGCGGAGGGGACAAGGAGCTGAGTCCCCGAGCGGTGCCCGCCGTGAGGGAGCCGGCGGTGCTGGGAGAGGTCCCAGCGCGGTGGCTTGGCATGCCGAGCAGGGCGCTGTTGGAATCCCACTGGTTTCACAAGAGATGGGAAGTCCCAGCGGCACACCCAGGCTGTGCACAGAGCACAGACGGGGAGAGGAGGGGATGCTGCCTGGCTGCAGGGATGTCCCCGTCCTGGTGGCTCGCAGCACCGCGGCTCTGCGGGAGGCTCCAGGCCGTCACCCCAAGCCAGGGTTGGTCCCCTGCAAAATGGGAGGGGGGTGCTCACCTCGTAGGGTGTCAGCAGCGGCTTGCTGAAGGCTTCTCCCCAGTCGATGGAGAGCCGGGGACAGGCTACCTGCACCCACCTGGAAGGGAAACACGTGGCAACGGATGGGGACGAGCATTTTGGGAAGAACAAGCTGCAAGGAAGCCCTGCAGCAGCCCCCCGGGGAAGGGAGCAGAGTGGGCAGGGAGCGAGGTCCCCACTGTGCCGGAGCCACCCTGCCAAGGACAGCCATGTCCCCAGTGCCCAGCCACCCGTCACCTTTGTCCCCTCCCAGTCCCGTGGGCACAGCACCCGTGGGGGTGCACGGTGCCAGGGCCTGCCCAGGTGACAGCAGGACAGATGTGGCGGGGATGGCTTCCAGCGGGAATAGGAGGCCCGGACAGGGATGGGGCACCCTGGGGACCCCGGTGTGGGGGGCTGGAGCGGGGTCAGCAGCACTCACGCGTCCACGTCAGGCAAGAGTCGCAGTTTGCTGGGGAAGATCTCAGACAGCAGCACCCGTACGAAGGGCCGGCCCAGGGCACGGAGACGCGACTCCAGGTGCTGCCGGGGGGAAAAGGCACCCGGGGGGCATGAGGGGAGCCCAGACAGATGCCCCCAGCAAGCTCCCCAAGCCCTGCCCACAGCCCCCTCCTGGCCATCAGACCCTCTGTGGGTCCGAGCTCTGCCCCATGGCCACATCCCCTCAGCGGTCACAGGCCAGGCGCAGTGACGGGGACCGCGGCCACGGCTGTGGCTCGTGCCTGGCTCTCCCCAGTGCGTGCCTCAGCCTAATGAAGTAATTACCGCTCAATGACAACAATCTGTTCTCTAGTGGCTGCGCCTTTCCGCCCGCCTGCCACTGGCTGACCACGGCCAGAGGCTGCAGGAGGAGGAGAGGGGCCCAGGAGGGGCCAGGGACGTCCTTGTCCTTCTCCCCCACTCCCTGGGGCCACAGCAGGACAGCAGCTGCTGGGACCTCGCTACCCTGCTCTGCCCACCAGTCCTTGTGCTGCCCTAAATCTCACCTGTGGCTCCCCAAAAATTTCTGGGTGTGAGTGGGGCTGCCATATTCAGGGCACCCCACTCCCATGGGGCAGGACACTGTGGTCGTGCTCCTCTCGCCCAGCCAGGGTGCGGAAAGCGGCAGCCCGGTGGCTGAGCAGGGACAGTGAACCCGATCGGAAGTTCATCCAATTAAAACAAACCCAGGGAATTAATTGCTGAGCTGCCCGTGCAGGGGGGTCTCAGAGGCTGGCCAGCTCTCCCCAGCAAGCGGCAGGTTTAATGAGCCCTTGTCTGGCCTCCCTCATCCGCTGCTAATTGCCCTGCCTGCTCAGTTTGGGGGCATGCAGACCCCAGCCAGTGGCAACCGATGAGCCGCCAGCGGTGCCGGTTCTACCCTTGCCCCGGCAGCGAGGCCACTGTGCCGATGGTGCCATCGCTCACCGGTCCTTCTCCCTGCCCAGGAGCAGCACCCAGTGCCCAAGCTGGGGCCACGGGGAGGGGGCCGGTACCTGCAGGATGCCGGGGGAGCCCTGCCGCCCCAACGTGCCCAAGATGAGCCCCCAGCAGCGGGCACTGGCGGCGGTGCGGATGGCGTCCTGCCGAGCGCGGCGCATGCGCTCGTGGCCGTAGTGCTCCTGAGAGAAGACCTTGCTGTAGGGATCGTACCTGCAAAGCAGAGCCGGGCTCACACGCAACTCATCACCTGCCCGCACCCCATCATCCTTGCCCCCTCAAATGATGCCGCTCCCTCGTTAGCACTAATTGCCTCCCACAGCATATGTCCCCCCAGGCCGATGCAGGGCCCAGCTGGCTCATCAGGGCGCAGAGAGGGGACAAGGCAAGTGTCCCACCGCAGCCCCCCAACACCCGGCACAGCCTGGGCCGCGCGCTCAGATCCACGCTCGGCTCCCCCCCATCCTGGCTCATCAATTATGAAGAAATCTTTGATTTGTTGCTTTGTTTGACGAGGAGAATTTTAATCAAATCCCACTCGGGTTTCGGCAGCTTCCCCAGCGCCATAAACCTGACGCGCGCCTCCCGTTAGTAACAAACGACCTACTAAGAAATTCAGATTTCGCCAAATGGGCCCAGCCTTTCACTCTTGATATTTCATCTGCTTTCAGCGGCCTCATCATCGCGCTTTATGGCCTCTGCCTGCAGCAGCCGGGCTTTAATGGCTGCACCTCCATGAGCTTTCACAGGTACTTGTCAAAATGTTTATATTCAGCCGGAGTAAATGGCTGGTGTTCATCTCCCCGCCGCACCTCTTCACCCACCCCGCGGCCCCTCGCCTGCCTGTGCCCGCTGCAGGCAGCTGCCTGCCCAGTCCCGGGGTGGGGGGTGCTCCTGGGGTGCATGGTGGGGACAGCCGGTCCCTGGCGTGCTGGGGGAGCTGGGGTGCTCCCTGCCGTGGGGCTGTTGGGGACCAGAGCGGGTGCCCGCGGGCTGCCCATACTTACAGTCAGGTATCCCCGGGTTGCCCGTACCTGTAGGCAGGTATCCCCGGGTTGGCAATCATGATGGACTCCAAGTGGAAGCGCCCATCGCCCAAATACCTGCCGAGAGGAGAGGGAGAGCTACAGCACGTGGGAAACGGCGGCACCCATCCATGTGCCCACCAGTTTCCCAAGCCGTGGTGTGCGGAGATGCCGGGAGCCCGAGCTCCCACGCTGGGACCCAGGGGCAGCGGGCACAGCCAGGGCTCCCCGTCTCCGCGCAGCCCCCTGGCATGCTGGGGCAGGAGAGGCGGCCGCGCTCGGGGCAAGGAGGGATGCTCACGTCGGCGTGGAGCGGCCAGGAGCTGCTCCATCTCAACGGCTGGTTCTAGACATTGCTGCTTCCATTTCTAATCGGATTTCAAGTCAGCAATTACATTTCAAAGCCTTTCATTCAGCTGCCCTAATGGAGTGAGGGCTTGGAAAATGAATTCAGACGTAAAACTTGACTAGATTTTGCCCTTAATTGGAGAATGACATTTTGGGAGATCAAAGCTAATTTGTCTGCAAAAGTTAGCCCCAGAGACGGGCAAAAGAAGAAAATAGTAACGCGGGGAGGACGCAGGTACGCCAGCTGCGTGCACCTGCACGGGCGGCCAGTCAGTACTGCACCGTGGCTCCTCTGGTGGGGGGAAGGACTCGCCCATGCCGACGTGGTGCTGGCCCGGCCACCCGTGCCTGCTCCCGATGCCCTTCAGGAGAGATGGAAAGTGGCGCCTCTCCCCCAGCCCCGGCATGGCTCAGGGCAAAGTCAGAGCCCCGCCAACCCCCTGCCCCGGTAGTTGTGAGCCCGGCCCCCCGCATGGCCGTGCTCGGAAAGGCACCAGCGCTGTTGGCTCCTGGCAAGGCAGGCAAGAAGGGGCGCAGCAGAGCCCAAACCCATACTCGGGCTCCCCAGCTCCCCCCAAGGGTGGGGTCCTTGTATTTATTTATTCTGCAGCACACTGTATTCACAGTACATTAAGCATTTCCATTACCTAAAATAATTAGGTGATAGGAAGCGAAGTGCTCCCTCTAATTTGCTGTCCTTAAATAAAATTAATGTTGCTGCGATGTTGGGCCCTGGCCATTTGTCTTTTCCAATTATCCACCCGCCCTTCCATCTATTATCTATTCTGATATACGACTCAATTATTTCCTCTGTGCTACGAGCACACGCCACTCCGAGCAGCACAGGGAGCTGGAGGGGGCCCATTCCAGCCTGCAGCCGCCCCCCGGCCCCCCCCCAGACCCGCCCCGCAGCCAGGCAGGGGCTACAGGCAGGCAGCCTGGGCCAGGCAGGACCAGGTACTTACACGATGGCGTCCGTGTCCTGGGCGAGCCGGGGCGACGTGCAGCCCAGGATCTCCCCTGGGGACAGCGGCTTGCACTGGGGCACACACACCTTGTACTGGGAGCGCAGCTCCTGCGATGCCGCCTGAGGGAGACACGGGGTCAGCCGGCCAGCAGGGACAGACCGTGGCACAGAGCATGGCCGAGGCCGGTGGTCCCTGGCACTGCTGGGGACCCTTGGGGACACCCTGGCTCTGGAAGTCCCAGCTCCATGGGGCACCAGTGGCAATGGCTGTGCTGTTGTGTCCCAGCATGGCGGCAGCGGAGGGGAGCCGGTCTGCTCGGGGCAGCAACATCACGG